GTCATCATCCATATCATACAGAGGGTTATACCCATCATACCTGTCTCTGCTCTGTTCGTGGTGTCCTGGTCCCCTGCGATAGCCTCTCCCATGGTCATACATGGACGTTGAGGAAAAAGACCAACCGTCTTCCTCCTCCATGTACTCATCCAAGTCTTTCGGCTTAGTCCTAAGCCATGACCCAACTCCAACTTCTCGTCGGTCTGCATGTGCTCTACTCCAGGTATAAACAGTGGAGGATACATCGGATTGGGGGTCCCGGGTTAGTACACGCCCCTCCGTGGCCGCCAGACTCAGCTCATCCTCCACCCATGAGACTAGACAACCTGGTCCTCCTCCTCCTCCGTCCGACCCACCAGATCTATGACCCATAGTTCTTGGCCACCTTTTGTAGCCCATGGCCTTGTGCTTTCCACGAGTCATCACGACCTCTTGGGCTGAGGGAGCCGGTAACAGGCCCCCACCCTTCGGTGTTCCCTCATAACCCTGGCCCGCACGCACCATGTTGCCCTAGCTAGTCTTCCCACCGCCACCAGGTCTGTTGCTCGTGTCGTTGTCCGTCGTGGTCTTCGCTGGCAGAGTCGCTGCCGTCCCCGTCGGTTCCATCTCGGCCTCCGCCGCCACCGCCTGCTCCAGCTCTGTCGTGAGTTGCCTCACCTCTGACTTCAGCGCTATGTTCCTCGGGATCGGGACTGGTTGCTCTAGGTCGCGACTCGTCTACCTACTGAATCCACGAAAGTATTCACAAGAAGAGTACAAATTTGATGATAGATGAAGGCTTGTGGAAGAAAACTTTGTACATAAAAGTTCACCCTAAGTTGCATTTCTTCCCGTGGCAAGCTTTGAGAGTTATCTTACTTGCTATGGTTATCATTTCAAGTTGTTGTCCTACATCTAGGTTGTCACTTACATGCCGATACATTACAACACTTATTCTTCTCATGCCCATTAGCTTCTGAACTCTGGCGAATGGTAGAGATGCACTATATCCTTAATCACATTGCACAAGATAATTTCAATGGTTAATGGCGAAGAATAATGTACATTAACAATCGTACCAAGTTATAATAAAGAAAAATATTTGTTGGTACCTTCTACTACATAATATACTAATAGTCTCACAAAATCATTTATTTCAATCCACAATTCCCTACATCTAGGTTAGGGTTCCTTACCCCAACCATAAAAGTATCACCCCATGAAAGGGGAGGAAAAACACAAGTTAAAGAAGGGGAAATCATCTTGGCAGCTCCAAGTTAGGGGAAAATTAGCTCCAAAGCTCCTAATTCAAACATATCCTTCTCTTAGATACTCAATTCTTCCCGTGGAACCTTTAGCTTTTTCCTGCTTTTTTTGTGATGGAAATTTGCAAAACTAATCTCCCTGCCTTCAATGTCAACTCATATATATAGGGGCCAGGCTACTTCCCAGTTTCTGACAGATTTGATGGCAGTTTATGGTCATGATCTCCAAGAAGAGCTTGTGAACGCATAATGCGTTGTCGTTCCTCCCTAATTGCAATAAAATTTATGGACTCATGTTCAAGACTGTGATTTTCTTCTCTTGGTCGTAATTTTCAAACCCGATGTTTATCTATTTGTCGTGACTTCGTCTACGATTCAAATTGTTCTTTCTTGCACGACTGCACGTCCTGATCTTCAAGATCATGGTTGTGATCTTCCTTGTTAGCCTATGATCTCATATAAAACCACGAGTTTTTTACCTTGATTTGCCTTATGAGCTCATGCTCTTTTTCTTCACCTTCTCCCTAGACTTGTTGCCCAACTTTTGCTCCAAAATTGCCTAAATTTCGGCATTGCTTGTATAAGAGATGTCCATGGTAAATGAAAACCATCCTAGATTAAAATGGATTCAATTATGCTCAAAATATGATGAAAGCACCTTAAATGGGAAGAGTGCAAACTCTTATTTTAGGTGTTATCAAATCTCTCATACTTAAGCGTTTGCTTGTCTCCAAGCAAACATACGATTGAAGCATGCAACTTGAACCTCTAAATCCCCCACACACTTTAGGTGAATTGAATCATCAGAGGTGGATCAAAAGATGCTAGAGACGCCTTAGCCATCCATTATCATGCTTAACTTACTCAGAAAATATTGGATGGAATGCCCTCAAGCGAGGAAGATAGGTTCAAGGAGCAAAATCATACTCCCGTGTAGGTAGGAAAAGCGGTCACTCTCACGATTATTTCTCTCTCTTTCCAAACAGCCTTCTATTCCCTTTTGGTGCTTTTTAGGGGATTGTAGCAACTAAAAAAATTGTTGGCCTTTCTGACGTGGCAAATAGGGGTTCTACAATTAGCTTTATTTTTCCTTACTATACCTCAATCCATGTGGAGGGACCAGTACGTAATGATAAACAACATTTGAACGAATTTGAACTGAATCTGAGTAGGTTCCCTACGCACATCATCCTCAAACATGGTCGTTCGATTCGAAAGTGACCATATACATGTGTTGTCGTAATTTGGACTGGTGATGACCTTTTTAGGGTCACGTGCAAACAACCACTGCGAAGAGGGTCAATGACAATTTTCCTTTATCTGGCTAGGTGAGGACCTCCTTAAGTTTGTGTACTAATCCTTCCCTCGTTACTCGGTGACGCCTCACACGTAAACACAAAATTAAGCATCATTCAACCAACCTATACCAAATAATCCCAGTTTAACAGAGGTTAGTCGAGCTCTGGCCACTAGGCCGATTGGATGCGATGAGCTTGAGGATTGAGGTAGCAGATGATGAACTTCGGAGTTGTGAAAATAATTGGCATAGTCATGGGGATCTTGTTCTTTATCTTATTCCTCTTTGAATGCTCTTGAAGCTCTCCTTGTTGGTGTGAACGAGAGGGAGATTTCCTTGTCCTCCACCATGATCGTGTTGGTAGTCGAAAAAGGAAGTCCATGAACTCCCCAAACTCCATGCCCACATATTCTTCTAAAGAGTCATCAAGTATGAATTGCGTGAAAGGAAGGATACATGGTAAGTTCTTGTGTTGATGCAGTTAGCAACATATTTTAGGTCGATGTTGGAGTGAGTCTCTTGATGTAACCCCGCCGTGCAATGCATGAATCATATGGTCAGTGATGTGCTTCGTCAATGTAATGAGAACCAAGATACCTAGATGAAGATCTCAATGTCCCATCATTCTCCACACGAGTCCCACATCTATGGCCAAAATTTTGTCCTTTCTTCCCAACCTTCCACCTACAGATCTAGCAATGACATGGTGGATAAGTCTCCACTCATGTTTCAACTCGCTCACCTTTCATAGCTTCATTTCCCATCCTCTAGCTCCTAGAGCCTTGAGTTTTTGTGAGTAGAAGTCTCCAAGGTTGGGGATGAGGTACTCTGATGGTAACGATTGGATGTTGGATGAATCATAGAGCTTTATGGATAGAAAACTAGAGCTCTTGTGAAAGCTCGAATGGACATGGCTCTCTACACTCCTCCAAGCCAGCAACATGATGTTCTCGATTTGGTCGACATGGAATCGGTTGGAAGTCACTTGGATGCATAGATGGGCTTCTCCATCTCCGAGAGTGAGATCCAACCAGCCTTCCTTATCATCTCTCGGATTACCCCCCTCAACTTCACTTTAGACAATCTCGATCAAGGTCTTTATCAAAAGCTCATTTAGAGGATTGAGACATAAGAATGTACTCTATGGAAAAAGGCTTCTCTCGAACGTTGCCTTCTTGGTTGTCATTCTTGAAAATGATATGTGAAAGATGACGCAAAAAAATGAAAAGGTTTTGGAGAGCCAGACTAGATGATTTTCTAGGGTACAATTAGGATGATCCCAAAATTTGTAAACTCATCTTGGATTAATGGTTATTTTGAAACAAAATTGTCACGAAATTTATAAAAAATTATTAAAAATTTGTTTAAAAAAATTATGATGCACTATTAAAAAAATTTGAAGTGAAAAAGATAGATTAATATGCACGTACCTACGGTTTGGGTGAAAGAAATTAATATAAGTTAAATTTGAGTGGTGCAAATTTAGAGTAGAAAAGTGAAAGGAAAAACTAAAGACATTTATTTGAAAGGCATGTGTCTAAGGAGTGGTTTGGAGAACATTGGATTCATTGAATCCGTAGATTTTGTAGAAAGTTATGTTTTTTTTTTTTTGTTTCTTTTTGTATTGTGGATTTGTAAATTTAGAGATTTCAAATCTCTAAAATCTACTGATATCAAATCTCTCTTAATAAGAGAGATTCTATATCTTGATTCGTGAGATTTTTTTCTCCAATATTTTCTTATTTATTTATTTATTTATCATATTAAATATATTTATTAACAAAGTTTTTAATATTTCTTGAACCACTCTAATTTTTTATTAAGAATGAACATGTTATTTAATATAATTTTTTTTATTGAATTTTTACAATCACAATTACTAAACAATAAATATTTGAAAATCTATTTTCAACCATCCAAAGAGTTAGAAACTTTAGATTGTTGACAATCTATAGATTTAAACTCATATTCTCCAAACGACCCCTAAATTTAAGTGGGAGGATTGGAGTTGGTCTTACAAGATGTCAATGACCCTCATTTAGGGGTATGCTAGGGTCCTGTCAGATCTAGACAGCACCAAACTCGTGGGAAATCATATTTCAATAGTGAATGACATCTTAGCCGTTAGCACCATAGCACCAATATTGCATGTGGTTTGATTTGTTCGGTTTGATCCAGTTCAAATGTCAATTTCGCATTTTAGTATTTATAAAATGTATAGGATCAAATAATGAAGTATCTCATATTCAGCTCAGTATAATCCGGTCCAAGCTTCAATTTGATGCAGTCCTATTCAGCATGTACCACACTCTTACCCTTATAGAAAGTCTGAAATCATATGGGCAAATTATACAAGCTGATCCGACCTAGGCAGTCTGACGGGCCCAAGGGCCAAGAGAGAGAATGAGTCGGGTTAGATCAATTTTACAACTCGGCCCTGTCTAGATGGGTTCGGTCCTGAATTCGACTTCCCCTCCACTTTGCAGCTCTTCGCCTCTTCCTCCGGTAACTGAATTCGTCAGCCTCCTTCGACCTATTACCTAGTTTCCCCCTTCAGTCGCTCCCGCGCTCTCTAGGGCTCCCCTTCTGTTTAAGCTTGTAGAGTACTCGGTTCGACCAAGCAGCGATTTGCCATGGAGGAGGACTCGGAGACAAGAAGAGACAGACTGAAAGCCATGCGGGAGGCGGCATCGGCAGCCACCGACGCTAATTCTTCCGGTGGTCTCCCGACTTTTGATGCAACGCCCGTCGCTCTCGCCAACCCGCTGCTCGACAGACCCTCGGAGATGGACACGCGTGGCGCTCCGCGGTTTGATTTCTACACTGATCCTATGGCGGCCTTTTCTGCTACTAGGAATAGGAATTCTCCGGGAGACATAGGACCTCCCGAATCACGGGCTCCGTCTCCCTGGCCAGGTAGTTATTACTTACTGCAACTGCTTCATTAGTATTTTGGTTTTGGGAACATGGGTAGTTTCAAGGAATTTGCTGTACCTTTGTGTTAGAGTAGATGATGCTGCCAAGGTTTTGACGGCATAACGTTGATGTGGGTTCCTGCCATTAGCATGGTTGGTGGCTTGGGTTAAGGCGTATCTAGAACTTGTATCACTGTTTATAATCTTGAATTATTGGGGGCTTCCTTGTGCTAATTAGGTCATTTCTGAAATCCCAAATCTATTGACTTGGATACTTAAGGTGCATGGGTTGGACATACTGCAATGGTTGTCAGTTCGGTATTGGGTTGAATTTAATAGCCAGATGATTCATATAACACTGTTCTAGCCTTCAAGTTTATGGATTTGTTAATTGTTATCCTCAATTTTGTTTATCCTGTTCATTACAGGACCAAGAAACTCGATCCCTACATCAGCTCCTCCATATATACAAGGCCATCATCCAGTTAATCAAGGGATGATGTACCAACCGAGAAGTCCTTATGATGGTGTTGCTTCATATGGGAGACAAGGTGGTATCAGAAGCCCTTTCCCATTTCATCAAGGACCTCCTCTCCAAGCTCCAAATCCGCAATATCAGGGAAATACTAACTATGGACCAGCAAGAAGCCCTGGTTTCAATCAGGGGCTAGGAAATGCCACATGGATGGGTAATAATCCTCGTCCGAGATCAGGGTATGGAGGTCATCAACAAGTTCCCAGTGGAGGCCAGGGCCGAGGCCAAGGGAATTTTCATGGTGGCAATAGAAACCCAGGTTTTGGACGTAACAGTGGGAGAGGGAGGGGTTTTCACAACAATCATGGCTCTAGATACACCGGGGAAATGAGGCCAGAACAATTTTATCATCCTTCTATGATGGAAGATCCATGGGAGGGTTTAGAGCCAATTGAATGGAAAGGAAAAGGAATAGACTCATCACAGTCTTGGATGCCACGGTCCATTGCCACAAAAAAGGCACGAGTTTCAGAACCTTCTATAAAGTCCAACACTGAACAAAGTCTTGCAGAGTACCTTGCTTCTTCATTTAACGAAGCTTCCAACGCTGATCCGAGCACTTGATGCTTAAGTTGTGTGACTGATCTAACTGCTGGTTTCCATGCTGTTGAAGATGCAGGACTGGAATCTCAAGAAGAGCTATTAAGATCATTTGCTAGGTGAGATTAGCAGTCATTTCGATAATTTGGTGGTCCTGCTTCTACTCTGTGAAAAAGTGCAGAGGCTAGAACAGCTTTCTGGGAAAACTTTGAGATGCTATTTTTGCTGTGGGGATTGAAGTTCTTATCTGCAATATTTGCTTGCATTCTTTTTACGGCTGCTAATGTTGATCGCGTGTTTTCACACCTTCCTCTCATACTAATTGCCTTGTGTTCAAAGAAGAATGGATATACATGGTTTCATTGGAGCACTGTCATAGGTTGGGTATTTTGTTTTGTTTGTATGCACTGTGCAGCCATATGTCTCTATTGAGGGAAGTACAGTGCTTGTGTTCTGTATGAGTAATTGGTTGGAATACCTTTTCAAAGATAAAAGTAGAGACATTGTGTTAGTTTTGTACTCTATAAAACTATTTGTTGTTCATCTTTGTCAGGTGAAGATTCCCTAGTGAAGTTCAGTCCCCTACTAGTGTCTGTGCTGTAAAGTAGAAAAGTTTGTTGGAAAAAAGATGTGTGGAACATAGAATGGGAATGACAGTAAGGCTGGAGGTAGAGCTTGCTTCCTTCCTCTTCATGGCGCAGAATCTAAGTCAGTTGAATATAGCCCCACTGGTGTATTCCTTTCATACTCGAAGCTACTGATCCTGATCGAAATTGTCATCTCTGCTGCACTTTTGTTCTTTTCATTGTAATTTCGTCCTTTCAATTGTATTCCATTCCTAGGTAAAGGTTCATTCAACCAAACTGAATTGTGTTGGACAACAGTGTCCCTCTGGAACTTCACTGGAAGAAAATGCTTTGCATTGCGCAACAATTACATTGGTCTACCGGAATCCTACTTCCAATAATGTACTTTCGTACAATTATACTTGTACGTCTACAACGGTAGTTAACCTGCTGTCAAACAATTGCTAAGCCCTAAGAAGAGATCAAGACGAAGGAGTTGCCCGACCATGGATCCAAAAAATGTTGAACAGCCAGAGATGGGTCAATATCCTGCTGTCAAAGTCAACGCCGAAGCCTAGCGCACGATCCACATTCAGCTACAGGTTTCTGGTCACAACAAATCTCATCCATGAATGCGTGCTTGAGCTGCTCAGCCAGGCTTGGTGGGTGGTCAACCAATGCGTCCACGAAAGCATTGACCACCCTCCTCTCTTGAGCAGTTGCTTTCAGGCTAAACCAAGTCAGGAACTTCACTCTGAAACCTTCCTCTATCTGCCCTTCCTGCTCCAGCCATTTCACTGCTCGTACAGAGTACTCGTACTCGCTTTCCTCTGCTCTTCGTTTGCATCCAAAACCGGAGACATCTTGTGTCTCGCTGGACTTGCAGGGGGTGGATGGCGAAAATGACCCATGGTTGGTCAATGCAACAGCTTCTATGGCTGGACGTGGTGAGCATTCTTCCAGACGAGTTCCACGAGCTGAAAGAAACCAAAATCACGAGCAAGCTACATCAGCAGAAGAAATATCCTTTTGTGAAGTAAAAATGCCTAGAGAAGGAACTTACATGGTGGTGCCTCTTTCTTCTGCTCATAGCCTGGACAATCACCAGAAGATTTTAAATCGAAGGATTCGATTGCAGATGCACACAGCTTCTGAACCTCAGAGCCACAAGAAAGCCTATTGACAATACCCCGTGCCATCTTCGTGCACACGAGATCTAGAGGGCCCAGCTCATTCTTCAGCAACTGCAATGCAGTTTCCATCATTTTGTGGATCTCATTGTATTGTTCAGTTCCGGAGAGAAGCTTATGGGCCAGGAGGACTCGCAGACACAATACATCCACTCTTCTAGCTTCTTTGGCAATCAATAGTTGCTTTCTCCAGATTCTGAAACATCACAATGTCAATTCTGATTAGCAGATATGGGAGATCGAAGATGGGAATTTTATTAGGCAGACAAAGAACAAGAATGCAACATTCAAACATCTCTGCATCAAATCCATTATTCATCTGAAAAAGAGTTCCATGACAGCAGAAACCGATGAGTTACATAGTGAGTTAAAATCAACAGGTGCCACTCAAGTCTTAAGCTTACCTCATTAGTCCATTGACTTTCCCACAAGAAACGCAGTAGAAACTCCCATCCAGCTTTTTACCCGAACCAGTATTATTGACGATTCCAGACCTTTTATCCTTCAGGGCACATACGAGATGGCAAGTAAACCCACAGGAATTCTCGGTACAGGAGTCAGAACCACAGGTTAGCCACAGACTGGGATCCTTATTTTCGTCGTAATAATGACAGATACAGCAAGAACATCTCCTGCAGAACGCATCATTGGAAGATAAACTGGCCCGACATGCAGCATTCTGACAAACTTGGACCTCAACTTGTTCCTTTTTGCGTACCAGAGAATCAGGAGGGTTTTCTTCAGTTGAAGATTGCACTTTAAATTCATTCAGTCTTTTCCTCTTAACCCCATTTTGAGCTCCGACGGAAGCACATGATGCTTTCACTTTATCTGCATCATCGTCGTTTCCCTTGCAATTCTGTGAGACTACCTTCAGAAGTTGTTTGATCAGCTGAGATTTAGTGTACCCTGAATATTTCCTCTCTTTACCCATCTCTGCACAGATAATCTGAAGAAGCTCCCTGCGTGTGAATGAACTAAGAGTCTCCCATGCATTATTCGGCCATTGAGCAATCTTGCAAGCTAAATCTCTTTTCTCTTCGAAGCTCAGCTGACTGCATTGCTCCGGGTCAATAACTGAGCCTGCAGAAATGAAAAGCCGACCAATTACTCGTACCGAACGAATCATTACAGCTCAATCTTATCATCATATCATCTCCAATCCCAGCATGATATCAAAATACATTTTATCCTACTGCGTGTCTGTGTGCTTGGCACAACATCAATCAAATCAAAACTAAACCAAGGGACATTGTTCATTCCACAAGTTCAAGACCATCTAACTCTCAAATAATTTGGGTTCTCCTTTACGCAACTAATTCTCCATACACAATTGCATGGTTGACCATAGTTTTCAGCAAAATCACAGTGCACCTAGAAGAACATACTGAATGAAAAATCAAAGAATCAGGCAGCCAGGCACGGGCCAATTCAAAATTCTGACAAGAAACCCAGCCAAAGGGGCCAGTAACCCACATCCAGCATAGCACATTGCAGTTGGAACAGAAATCAAACCGCAGAATAGAAGGGAGGTCTCATCTGGTAATCAACATAAACATACGTCGTTGATTGTTGCGTGTACAGAGAACAAACAGCACAGATAAAGAGAGTTGGTGGGTGTAAATGGGTGATCAAAAGGAAGCAAAACCCAGATGCGGAAAAGTGGGCAATGTATATACATATATCAAGGACAAAAAGACATCGCCAGAGAAAAAGAAAGGCTAAAAATAACCAGAGTCACCATTGACTGTGATTTGTGAAAGCGGTTAAGAAAAGGCAAAAGGACCGCAAAAGTGGAAGGGAAAAGCACAATGCAGAACCAAATACAGGGAAAGAACTCACCGGAGAATCCTCCGGAGGCCATTACTCCACAATGGAAGCGGTAAAATAGATAGAGCTTGGGTGTGTCTCCGGCTGACGACAATGGAGACCAACCCACAAAGAAATAAGAGAGAATAGAAAACCCAAAATTGGTGAGGAACTGGAGAAGTAGACGGTATGAATTAGCTGGGCAAAAGATTTCGCCTTTGCTTGTTTAATGCGAAATAAGAAGAGTGCAGGTAGGAAGAGGTTAGGGAGTGGGGGAGGAGACCGCGGCGGAACCCAGAAGGCATAGAAAGAGAGAGTGCCGTGCTCCTAGAATGAAGAAATACAATGTTTTTTTTAATATTTTATGAAAGGGACGGTTAATGATGATTATATTATAATGATCATTCATCACTAGCATGCTAGTTATTTGATTTGGATTATCATTGGATGTCAACAACAACAAAAAGCATTGGTCTCAAGCCAAATGCTTAAGATTCTAATTTCTAGGCCAAACATTGAATAAAAATTCATGTTATTTCCTTTCTTTCTAGTCCAAATTAATTATTTTCTTACAATACTATTCCAAAAACTACAGGGCATTACAATTAGTATCAGAAACGGGTTGGAGGTTCGCAAATACGAAATGTCATCTGCAAGTGATGATCATAATGAAAAGTACTATGGTTCATGTGTAGTAAACAAGTTATAAAATCAAGAATGCCTAGCCTCGTATTCCAAAGGGTCTTTTAATAATAACTACTCAAAACTAACAACTTATGCTTGAGATAACAATGCAATGAAAATAAAACAAGATGGATTGAGGTGCCCTTAGTCGAGATTCTATTATACTCAAGCAAGAAAAGAAAACAAAGGAAAACATACAAGTAAAGACAATTGTTTAGGTAGTGTATTTTAGATACTCATGCATATAGTCTCATCAATGAAATACTTCCATGGTTCATCTATTATGATATCACATCCCGTCATTGAATGCATTCCAAATCGAGCTTTCGCCACATGTAAGAGGAACATTAATTAGCTAATGCGTTCTTTCGCTTCATGTCATCAACTATCTAACTAAGAACAACAGAATTAGGATAACACCTTGTTAAATGTGATCTTCTTGAGTCATAAAATAATGCTTATAGTATTGGTGATCTAACAATCAAGCATTGATCTCATATATACTTGCATAGTCGCGTCCAACTAAACAAGCATACACGAGACAATGATTCACAAGAAAGTAGTTTCATAACATCATAGATGATATTGTGAACAACATATAGTAACACATAGTAGAGTCATACGCATAGAATAAAAATAGTACTTTATTGAATCATAGAAAGATACATGAGTAAAATAGAATTCACATTTGCAAACAACTTTGACCTAGCTATCTAGACATAGGATAATAGAAAGGCATCACCAATAATGAAGAACATTGTGGTAAAGACCTCCTTGTCGAACTCCATTGCATCGCCTCCTCTCCATGGATCTCGAACTCGTGCCTAAATGTGTCTAAAACCTCTAGCCTAAGCCCCTATTTATACTAGTTACAATAGATGTTTTCTAGTCTAATCCCTACTAAAGTCTGCCAAACCCTTTCTTGTACGAATGGGACTCAGATTCTTCAACTTGAGGAAGAAGCAAGAAGCTTCTAGAACTTGGCCTCTTCACGGCGACCCATGTCTATGGCAGTACCCGTCGCGCCTTTCTTCTTCGTGGGTTGTTGTTGAGTGGTTTCATTCTAACCTCACCAATGATAATCTTGTTGCACTAGGTCTGCTTCTTCGGGCCTTAGGATGAGTATCTGATATCTAAATCCATCTTTGTGGGCTCGCATACTTTTAATCTTGTCCTTGTTCTTATCAATTGATCCTTCATATTCATCTTGAGGGCATTTTATCCCTGAAATTCAGAAAACAACACTAAAGGGCATATAATCGTACAAAAACACACTCTATGTCTATCTTAAGCACATTATTCAAATAGTTACGATACTTATATAAAATCTAGTGAAATCTACTAAAGTTGTATTTATATAAAGGGAAAATGTATCAAATATGGGAGTGATAAACATTATAAATGAAGTGTTATCAGAAATACCCCACCCTTGAACTTTTTTGTCCCCAAGTAAACACTACTAAGAATCATATAACTAAATGAAAACTAAGAAGTATATCACTCAATCATGATCTTAGGTAGTGGATCAAAAGTGATCTTACAAGGTCAACAATATCACGAGAGAAATCCTAACCACATCAATATGCAAAAATACCATGCAATCCAACTCACTTTTAAACTACTAACCATGCATTAGAGTTTGAAAACACATAGGGTGAAGCTTTTTGAAAATGGTTTTTGCTCTTGAATGCTTCTGCCATCACTTGACATACCCTTTCAGCAATTTTGCCTTCAACAAGCACATACCTTTTTCAATTTTTATGAGTTTCTTACTTTTCTTCATCACTATTTTTCTTTTTCTTGTGTAGGGAGCTTTACTAGAGCATTAGATCCTTGTTAGTTGAGCAATAACAATTTATGTATCTCTGCCATTGTTAGAATATTTCTTTTAAATCCCTACACCTCAATTCTATTCATGTGGAGGGTCGATGAAATTAAGGGGTGTTGGAAGCTCTATCTGTGCCCTTAAAACGTATTCTCACGTTGGATATCCAATTCAAAGGGTGAAAATTTGCTCATACTAGAGAGAAACTAGCTTCGAACAAGGTCAATGAACCCAATTTGCTCATACTAGTATCTCTTCACAAACCCAATTTTTTGCAATGAAAAGATGCCTACACGTTGGGCTTACCCCATAGTTTATTTCTCAACACAGTCTAGAAAATTCTCGAGATACAACCATGTCTTGATAGGTAATTTTTCGCATTTTATTGAAGATACAGTTCATCGTACGGGAAACTTTTGAAAAGCGAGACTCCTTTGTATAATAAAAAATTTTATGAATGAATAAAACCACATAACAGCCAAACATATAAAATGGTCATTATATATCATTTACTATCACATTTTTCATAGTCACTACACTATCCTCGTTAGATCAAGTGATATTTCTTAGACTCATTTATATTCTTGTAGGGGATGACTAAAAGTCATTAAATGGAAAACAACTTTAGTATTTTTCAAAAAATTTAGGGATAATACCACTAGGAAACCCGAACTATTAAGAATGTGTCATTTGTGTCCTAAAGTATCTAATATGACATTTGTGTCCTAAACTATTTTTTCGTCAGAGTTGATCGGCTTTGATTGTTAGTATTTAACAAATGGTGCATTCTTAATAGTTCGGGTTGGGACATAAATGACACAAAATTATAATAGGTTGGGACATAAATGACACAAAACTATAATAGGTTGGGACACAAATGTCATATTAGATACTTTAGGACACAAATGACACATTCTTAATAGTTCGGGTTTCCTAGTGGTATTAGCCCAAAAATTTAACATGCATAACAAAACTATTAGATTTGGATAAATTGTCTAAATTGAAAGACTAAACATATAGCAAGAATAAAGCATAACAAAGCATAGCATTTGAACCAAATTCCACCCCACACTTTAAACTGGACATTGTCCTCAATGGACTAAAAGATAGGTGAGTCATGATAAAGAGTTGGAACTGTTTACCTCATTTGTTATTCAATTCGAAATATAAATAGGTGGCAAGGCTTACACTCTCTTATTTTGAGAGATTCTAGATAAATAAAAGAAAAAGAAAGTAAAAACATATAGATGGAGAGAGCTAAAGCATCATATCTTTAATAAAATCCAAAAGAAAACTTAAAATGAAAAGAAAGAACATTAATGATGTCTGAGGTCTTTGAAGAATTGCTCCTTATTCAGATGACCAATCATACTCAGAAATCCAACCATCGTCCAATTCATTTGTGTTTGTCGTGGTTGGCACCATGGGATGTAGTCATGTAGATCAAATTCATGATGGTGGATTAATCTCTTGAAGTCTTCTTATGTCTCGCACTACATCTCCTTGATTATCTCTAGCCACATTTTTTACTTTGTACTGCCTATCTTGAGTGCCATTTGTGCTAGTTTTCAATCCTGAGTTGGTGGAGCTTCTTTCAACTTGTCTCCCCCTACTACTTCTTTTGTGTATTGATGATAGCTTGCTTGTAAGGAATCGTCATATGGAGACCCTAACCTCATCTTGAATTATTGATCTCTATCTCTGGCTCCATCTTTTGATCATGTGATCATCATTCTTGCCACTTGATTGATAGGTACAGCTTCCACGAGTTTCATTATCTGATGCACGACCCCTTCTACATTCAATGTGATTTCTCCGTTTGTTGCATTGATCTTGGCACCGGTCGTGGCTAGGAATATCCTTCCGAATATCATAGAGTATTCTCGAGGTAACAATCATCTAGGTTACAAATGATCGTGTACTGAACAATATCCTCCTTCTGTTCATATAATTGAATGATTTCTTTAGGCGCCCAAGGGGTATCCTCGATGGTGGTCTTTTCATGCTTTATTTCTTGATCCTCCTCCAGAAGTAGCTTGAGTTGCTCTTGTGGATCCTTCAGAATAGTGATGTCTTCCAATAGAGTCAACGCATTTTAGTCTCCTTCTAATACTTGGATGATCTCTTGAACAACATGTCTTCGATTTGATTCTTCAAACACCAGCCTCCTCTTCCCTACTTGGTTGAAATCTCCTTCCTTTCCCTACACCATCTCACAAGGATGGGCCTTCACAACTCCTTCCTTGCAAATATTTCTTAGAATATATTTCCCATGAGGGGTATCATTGTATTTTGCTCTGAATCTCATGATTTGGTGTGAGGAAAAAGAAGAGGGGACATCTCCCTTTTTATAGGCGAGCGACAGTGGGGTGACTGGGTGGTGCCGTCATCTATTTTCCTGTTGGATAGGGAGTCTTACAAGTCCTTTGGTGGTGACAAAAACTGCAAGTGCATTGTGACATACAAGTAAAAAAGTGTAAGTAAAAGTACCATTCTCTAGGGATTGGTGAAATTTAGAATTAACCAATTTGGCTCAAGAAACTATTGGAAATATTGATGGTTGTAATAAAGTAATGAGTAGAAAAAATACATAAACTAACAAACTTGGAAAATGAAATGTTTCAAAGAAATTAATATTGGGGAGTTTTGCGGGAAACACAATATATTACAATTTTACCTCGATAAATTTAATTCCGCTTGTTAATCAATTTAATCCATATTTCTTTTGTTGGGATACCTCTAAATTGATAGCTATCTATAACAAGAATTACCACGTACGAACTAATTATTATGATTTCTACTTTCGTAACTAA